CGGGCGGGGGCGTGGCCAGGCGGAGCGGCCTTGCCCGGAGGCAACGCAGAGGGCGGACGTCGTCCTCCCGTTTTCACAAGTATCCTCCTTCTACATAAGCATTCTGGTGGGCTGGCCGGGGGCGGAGAAGGACCCCTGACCTCTAACCCCGGACACACATCTGTTCTGTCGGCCTTCGCGGAGGGCGGCCCCTGACTGGTGTCCCAGGGCGGTGCCCCGGTTAGGGGTGTGCCTGACCCGGAGGGATGTGCTCCGGTTATGGGCTGTGCCGGGTTTGGGGACATGCCCCAGCTGGGGCAGAGGGTGTCCTGCTACTAGCGTGTCAGCTGGGGACGATGTCCGGCCTGAAAAGGCTGCCCGGACGCATGGGGGGGGTCGGGTGTCCCAGTGGGAAGGACTGTCCCCACTTGGGAGAATGTCTCAATGGGAAAGTTGCTACGGTTACGGGAGGTGCCCCAGCTCCGGGGTGCCCCATCCAGGAGCATGCCAGGTCTCAGGGAGGACGTGCCCTGGTTGGAGACAGTGTCCAGATTGAGAAGGTGGGGGTGGGGTGAGGAATGTCCCAATGAGGATTGCCGCCGTTTGGGGGTGTTCTGTTTAAGGGGGGTGTCTGGCTTTGTGGGGTGTGCCAGTTAGGCGGTGTGCCCCTGCTGGGCAGCATCCTGTCACCCCAAGCTCCATGCCTAGCACCTGCCTCTCTGCCTGCCTGCAACCCAGTTATGCACAGGGCAAGGCCTTTCCTGCACACCAAACAGCCTAACTGGACAGCGCTGGCTGAGGTCGCCTGTTCCCCACGTCCCGAACTGTTTCTCCCATCCCCTGGGAGTTAAAGAAAGAAGCATGGACTGAAATTGGGATTTTCTGGCCTGTCTTCGAAACAAGAATTGAGACCCTGAGCTGGAGGTTAATATGTCCCCCACCCCCACCGCGAGGACTCAGTTTCATGGGAGAGAGACTCCTGGAAAATACTGGACATTTAGTCTGTCACCGATGGTGCACACAGGTGCAGAGGATGAAACGAGCTACCCCGAGTACTGAGGAAACCTTCCCAGGTTTCTTTGGGGGTACCCTAAGTCAGCTCATGACAGGCCAAGGACCCCAAGCTCAGAAGCGATCACCCTTCGTGGCCTGCACCACCCAAACTGACCTGCCTTCACCCACACCCACCTGTCCCGGACCACCCTCTCCATCTCCACTCTTGCCTCGGGCCTTAGTCTTTCCCTTCCCCGAAACGCTTTTAGCTCAGGTGTCTGCGTGGCTCACTTCTCTACCATTCTTGGGTCTTAATACTCCCTCCTCAGGGAAGCCTTCCCTTGCCTCCCGACTCAAAGATGATACTGTACCCCAGAACTTGCTTTATAGCCATATTGTCCGTCTTCCGCACTACGGTTAAGTCCAGGTCAGGGTTTTTTGTTCTGTGTGCCCTAGTGCCTAGAACTATATATACTTGGCAGTAAATATTTGTTGAATGAATAAATATTTGGAGAAAAATACTTTACCAGGCAAATACCAAGTGTAAATCAATGTGTCAGAAGTGGGCTGCACTTCATTTTGCACTATCAGCCCAACTTGCCCCTCGAATGATCACTGGTAAATTGTCAGGTGCTATTCTAGGCACACGACGTGTCAGTTCTGTAACCGTCAGGTCAGTCATGAGAGGCGGACGTTGTTCTTACCCACATTTTGTAAACGAGCAAACCAAAGCAAGGGAGTTGAGTGCATTCGAGGGCACACAACTGTCCAGACGCAGAGATGGTATTCGAACCCATGCAGACTTTCTTTTTGACTCCAAAGTTACAGCTGCTAGCACGTTTTACATATTTTACTTGTGGCATACTTTGTGCTTTTCTCCAGTATTCATCCTATCCTTGGACCAGTAATAGTAAAATTTTAGCCAGGTACGTGGCTGCCTGCTTAAGAGCATATTTCCAACAGCAAAGGGCAGCCACGAGATGTGCAAAAGTAATACAAACCGTTTCCCAGCCTGCCCTCAGAAAAGTTGGAGGTGCAAGCCCAGTAAGCTGGGTGGCAAAAACTGCAACAGCCACTACGTACCCGAGGGTGGAAGCCTCGGCTAGAGCATGACGGCTACATCACCAGGCCAAGTCTTCCACCTCGGGAATGTTAAATGTTGAAGAATGTTAAATGTTAAATGTTGAGAGGGGCGGCTCAACCTGTCCCCTCATAGACTGGTGAGTTCGTTAGAGATTAAGGTAACTGAGACACCTAGCCAAGGTGTCTTCACCATTTAGCAGAGCCGAAATTTGAACCCAAAGTCTTAATCCCATCTCCAGTGTTTCCCAAGGTTCTTTCCAGGGCCACTGGCCCCGTAGTACGTGGAAAGTCTGCAGGATGCCCCTATGGGACACATTGCTCTGCCGGACCCTGACTTATTTGCTCTCGGGTTCCTTGAGTCCTAGACGACAGTCCCAAAACATAGACCTCAGGAGCGGGCCTGTGAGTTTCGTACTCGGATGGGAGGTGAGAGGCAGCATCTCAGTGCCAGAAGAGGCAGTGGTGCCAGCAGGGTCGTGACACTTGAAGCCAAGGGTAAGGGCAAGCCCTCTTCCTCGCTCCCACGGGGTTTCCTCTGGCGCTGGTCTAAACTGCGCTGCCTGGAACGATGCGTGCAGGACAGGCAAGCCCAAGGCTCGTGATAATTAAATGAAACGGGTGGCCTTCGCCCCACATAGCAAACTCATTTTAAATTAACGCCGGTGCTCCAGGCTCCAGACACGAAATCCGGCTCCGAGGGCACACCTTTAGCCAGAACCAGGAGTCCAAGCCCCGGCCCGGGTTAAAGGAAACCCACATGCGCAGCCCGCAGAGTGAGTGCTCTTCCAGGGCCCGAAGCGCTCCCCCGGCCTGCCTCCCGGCCCAAGACACGGTGGGGAAAGAGGAAGGGCCTGGGGCAAGGAGAAGGGGCGCACCTGGAGGGGCGTGGCAGAGAGGGGACACACCTGGAGGTGAGACCGGAGAGGCGGGGCTTGTGGGGGGCGTGTTCCGAAGGGGCGTGACCGAGAAGGCGGTTGCTCCACCACCACCCACCCGCCCGCCAGAGGGCGCCCCAGAGGCCGGCCTGCGCCCAGCTATACAAATGAAGCGCTTTATTTACAAGGCGTCCATCCATCTCCAGCCCGCCAGAAGACGCCGACTGCAGCAGGTGGCAGAGGCGGCCCCAGGAAGCGGAGGGGGCGGCCGGGCGCGGCGAGTCCTGCGTGGGCCAGGCCAGGCCAGGAGCAAAGGCACAGGCCCTGGGCGCCCGGACCCAGGGCAGAGGTCGGCCTGCCTGGAGAAGGCGGCACGCAGTCAGCTCCCCGGGGTCAGGCCGGGGTCCGCACCGCCGCAGCTCTGCTCATAGGACGGCGGGGCCTCTGCGGAGAGAGAGAGAGAGAGAGAGAGAGAGGTCCGCATGGGGCCCGTGATGCCCCCTCCCCCAGGCCCCAGCTCCCCACTCACCATAGGGGTGGCCCCACGAGCTGTACTCCGGGGGTTGGATCAAGGAACTGGTGGTGGGCACCGGCCCTCCAGAACCCTCTGCAAAGTAGGGCACGGTGGCACCCGTGGAGATGCACAAGGCAGGGGCCAGAGGGTGGGAGGCGGGGCTTCCGTCCTGAGGTCGGGGTTCAGGGGCACCAGGCACGGAGCCCAAGGCAGCAGGTGGTGGCGGCTGCTGTGAGCAGCTCTTGGTGAAGAGGGAGCCGGGGTCTGCGAAGGGAGGCCCTCCAGCAGCAGCCTCGGCCTCCTCCTGGGGTGGCGCTGAGGGCACCACCAAGGACAGGGCCCCAGGGGGCCGCCCTAGACCTGGCTGGGGGCTCAGCGGGACTTGGTTCACAGCGATATTGCCGATGAAGACCGGGAGAGTCACGGTGGCTTCAGGCACCTTCAGGGAGACCTGTGGGGGATGGAGGGTGTGGGACGGGGGTGTGGGACCAGGCCGCGGGCCCGGGGCGCCCCACTCACGCCCGCCCGCAGTACCTGCAGGTAGTAGTCCACGTGGATGAGGCTGCAGCCCGGCAAGACGGACTGCGGCAGGGCAGGCACCAGGATCTGCTCCTGCCAGTGCGCCTGCCTCCAGGCCTTGGCGCCCGCCCCCTCCACCTCCGCGATGGCCCGCACGTCGCAGATCCAGCGCTTGGCCTTATAGGACACTTTCTGGGGAAGGGCCAGCCTGTGAGCCTGGGCACACCAGCCTCCTCCCCTCCACCAGCCCATAGCGACTCTGACCTGCAGCAGGCTGGCCACCACGGGGCTGGTGTCCTTGCCCGACTGGTTCTCGATGTCAGCCTGCAGCCGCAGAACCTGCCCCACCACGTAGCCTCGGAGCTCAGTGCTGGCAGTGAGGACCACGCTGCCCGTCTTCACCAGCTTGTAGGAGAACTTCTTGGTGGTGGAGGCCACATTGGGTTGCTTGCAAGGGAGGGCGGGGGGTTGGCAATGTGGGCTGGCTGGATCCCTGGGGCCCCGAGACTAGCCCCGCCCCTATACACAGCATGGTCGGCTCGGGGCCAGCCACCGCTATTCCAGACCCTGACCCTCTCCCCTCGGCTGGGGACAGGGCATCGCGTGAAGGCAGGGCCGCCCACCGTTACCTCAATGTCTGGGATGCTGTTCAGGTTCAGGGGGCTCAAGATGTAGAACACACTGCTGCACTGGTGGTCCTTGAAGAAACGTGGCGTGTCGATGGTGGCCCGCACCTGGTACACAATCTTCCCAAAAGAGCCCTCGAAGGATGTGGGCACTGCGGCTGGAGAGAAGCAGGGACTGGCACCTGACTGCCCTCTACACCACCTCCCGCCCACCCCCACCGAAGTCTCCACCAGGCCAGCCAGTCTGGGCTCTCACCAGGAAGCAGGAACTGGAAGGGGAAGTTGTGCTCTCCAGCAGGCAGGGTCCCTGCAGAGAGAAGAGGGAGATGTGGGGGAGGGGACCTCAAGAGCCTCGAGGTGACACTGCAGGGCCCAGGACGGAAGCAGGCAATGCAGCCAACCTGCTCACACTATGTCTGGCTATTGGTCTCCCAGCCTCGGTCCCCAGGACAAAGCAGCACAGGGCCATGGCCTGGGCAAAGGATGGGGGACAAGAGCTCGGCTTGAACAACAGAGAGGGCAAGGCTGTTCCAGGGGCCAGAGCCCGCTCCAATCCAGGAGACGCTGGCCCCCTTAGCCACACAGATCCTATCAGCCTATGCTCAGACCCTGCCAGGGAGAGAAACCAGGGCGTAAGGCCCTGGGGGAGGGCAGGCCTGGGTGGGGTCCCAGAGGTAGGTGGGGAGGCAGGGGAGACAGACAGGCTCCACTCTCGAGCAAGTGCTGCCGGGGGGATGAGGCCAGGGTAAGCTCCCGGACACACTCACCCTTGTCGGCCAGCGACAGCGCGCTGTTGAAGTAGCCCTCCTCGGACACCCACGCAGCGTCGTTGGCCTTGCTGGAGACCCTGCAGGAGCCCGTGCAGCTCACTCGGATAGCTGCGAGAGGGAGACGGCGTGAGCCCCAGCCAGCCGCTGCCTGGGCCCCTCCCTGCCTGCCACGGGGATGCTAGCAAGGCTGGCAGCACCCAGGTGGCCTGTGGCCTTTCAGAGGACATCTGCCCATTGTGCATCCCGGGGTATTCCCCGAGAACCGGGGTGGTGAGGCACAGAGTGACAGCTGTCCTGCAGTGCAGAAGAGGAGGGCCCCCACAGTCACCTAGAGGAGCCCTGGGCAATCCAACTGGGTAACCTCAGCTCCAGCCACACCTGGGCCCACGGACCTGCAAAAACCCAGCTCCCTAGAGGGCACACGTGGGAAACTGGCAAGGAACAGAGCCCTGTGGGGCAGCTGACCTCTGACCCCACTCTCTGCTGCCTCAGGCAAGTCGCTTAGGCTGGGAGGCACCCCGTCACGCTACAGGAAGCAGAGCGCCAGCTCTCACAATGTAGGAATGTTGTCAGACCCGCCTGAGTAGGAAGGTCCCCAAGTCCAGCACACTGGAGGGTGGGGATCCCCTTGACTTCCTGGGCCGCACTGCCCAGGAGAGCTGGTTTCCTGCACCGAGAGAAGGCTGGGTCCTCTGCGCCACTCCCTAGTGGGAGACCCAGGCCAGCGGCCATTCACAGCAGCGGCTGCCACCGCCGTTCCGCAACCGGGAATCTGGATTCCTCAGTCCCGTGAACATCTCAGAATCAGAAGGCCGAGGTCCAGATGAGGCTGGTCATCAGGGAGGAGGATGACACAGCAGGAGGCTCGAGCAGGGAAGCAGCGGAGTTCGGTGACAGGTGGCCCTGCAGCTGTACCCCTCCTGTCCCTGCAGGGCTGAGTCAAGGCCAAGGACTCCAGCCTCCCTGCCCAGTCCTGACTTCATGGAAAGTGACTCAGAATCTGACACCAACCTGAGAGAGCCACCAGGCAGGAAGAACCTGGTGTCCCAAGTGCCCAGGGCCAGGGGTCAGCCATACCAGACATGTCCACGGTCTTCCCCAGGCTGTCAACACCTTGCTGACGCAGGCCCGTCGGTCACCCACAGTGCACCAAGCTTCCTTCCCGGGCCCTTAGCTCATCCTCTGCCCCCGCAGGCACTGCCAGTGAGCAACCCACAACCTCCATGTCATCTCCCAGACCTCAGCCCAGCTTTCTCTGATCCATGCTGCGAGGGCTGGCTCTGGGATCTTCCCCACCCTGCAATCTGGGACATCAGGGGTGCTCCGGCACAGTTCAGAGAGACGAGGCGAGGCAGTGAGCGGGAAGACAAGGTGGGAGACCGTGAGCTGCCGAGAAGGCATTCTGCCGCATCCAGATGCCACGCCCCTTTACCCCTCCCTGTGGACAGGGCGCAGCCCCCTCGCACCTGACTGCCCTTCAGGAGGGATGCAGTGCTCCCCGGGCTGGCCTGGTGCCAGCTGAGCGCTGGCAAGGAACCCCAGCGGATGGCGCACGGAGCTAACGAATTGTCCTGCTCGCCGCTGTCCAAATTCCTACCCATAACAACATGAGATGTAATAGAATAGTTGTTTTAAACCACTTAGTTTAGGGGGGATCTGTGACTTGGGGGTTCATAGTAGCAGATAAGAGGAACCGATGTCCAACCTCACCAAGAGTCAGGGAAACTCAGACGACTTACCATTTCAACCCATCAGGTTGGCGCATATTAAATACTTTGACATGAGTGAGAGAAGAGGTAGAAAAACAGAGAGTCCCTCATAGCGACCAAAGCGTGGGCGGGACAGGGCTGCTGCAGGGGCGGACAGGCCTGTCGCGCATTCACGTACACTCAGGGGCCCGGGAGTCCTCCTTAGGGTCTCACACTGTGTCCCTGAGGCCTTGAGCATGCTGCTCCCCGCTTGGAAAGGCAAACCATCTAGGCACACCCCATGCGTCCAATGGCAGGGGGCCAAAACCATCGCACAGCCAGCCTAGACCCAGGTCCCAGAATTCAGGTAAGCAAACCATGGGAACACCTGGCCCCAAGAAAGTGAACAGCATCGAACCAGCCCTTAGGTTACCCGAGAGGGGCCCGAGCTCTGTGACCTCTCTCACACCCAGGCCAAGAGCCCCATTTTGCACACACACCGAGGTCCCTTGGGGAACCCTGACTGAACAAGCAGCCTCCAGCACCGTCTTGTTCCTGCCCACTCTCTCCTTCGTGGGGGAAAATGCAGGGGCGGGGGGTGGACACTCACAGCAGGCCTGTCCCTCCTGCCCCATGTGGGATGGGGGTGGGGTGCTCCCAGAGGCGAGCATGGCCATCGCACCAGCATGTGTACCCATGGCACAGCCACAGGCCAGGCAGGTGTGCAGCAGGCAGAGCTGCGGAACGCCATGCTGTGCCAGTCTGAGACTTTCAGCCAAGTGGAGGTCCAGCGCATAACAGAAGGCAGACACAAACCGACGGGCACTATGTTTAGAGGTTCGGGGCCACCCCGTTCTCTAAGGCAGGGGTGCCTAACCCCTGGGCTGTGGACCGGTGCCGGTCCGTGGACTGTTAGGAACAGGGCCGCACAGCAGGAGGCGAGCAGCAGGCCAGAGAGCGAAGCTTCGTCTGCATCTGCAGCCGCTCCCCAGCGCCAGCATCCCGCCGCAGCTCCACCTCAGGACCTCAGGCATTAGACTCTCATAGAAGCACCGGTCTCCGGTGCCACAAAGGTTGGGGACCGCTGCTCTAGGGGACATCATCACATGGACTGTGTACCAGAGTTACTTCTGGAACTTCCCTCTTGAGCCAGCATGCCCACCTGTCCAGCAGCCCTCCCTGCTGCACACCTGCAGTCTGTGAAGGCGTCTGCTCTCCTTGTGCCGGTCCTAACCGTGTACCCTCTCTGCCAGCTCCCACAAACCTGGAGCGACCCGGCCTTGCCACATCCTTTCACTAAAGCTCTAGCCTGCCGGCCACTTCTTTCTGTCCTGTTTCCAAATCTGTAACATAAAGCAATAACAGCGCCCACCTTGCAAAGTCACCATGAAGATTCTCAGGAAGTGGGGAGAATGGCATCTGGCCCGTGACAAGAGCTCGGTGAGATGGTGGAGCTGAGGTGGCCGCTGCTGCCGCCTAGCAGCCCTGTCCCCATTGCCCACCTCGAGAGCAGTTTGGGGCAGCCCGCCTGACGCAGGGCTGGCCTGGGCACTTCAGGACAGCTCCCTCCCCAGCTTTCTTTTGGGTCGGCTCAGCTCACGAGGCAGCTGGTGTCCTCGTGGCTGAGTGCAGGTCCACACTGAGCCCCTCTGACAAGTATTCACAGCCTGCTGTCCGCCCTTCTTCTGTGTCCTCCTGGGGGATGCAGGGCCTCCCCATTGTATCACTGGCTGGTAGCAAGAACTCAATGAGTATCTTCTGAATGAGAGAAAAAAACTAAAAAGAACCATGGCCTTTCCTTTCCCACGCCCAGGCAGGGCTTGGAGAAAGCCCCAGAGGGAGCACGGCACCCACACCCCTTTCTCCCGAGGCAACCTGAAGTGTCCCTGCTCTGGCCTGGCAGCAGCAGTAGCCTACTCCCCAGCCCATCCCCCACCATCCCTCCCCTCCTCAGGGCCATGGGGTGGGGGGGGGCGCTGCCTCGGACTCCTGTGGCTCACGTGTCTGTTCACGTGCATCCCACCTGCCACATGATGGCCAAGCACAGCTTGGACCACCCCTCAGTGTGGTCAGCTACAGAGCTCACAGCTTGGACTACCCATCACTGTGGTCAGCTACAGAGGTCGATGGGATGGACGAGCCAGGCGGTGAGCTCAGCACTGGGTCTCTGTGCTCCCTGTTCATCCCTCCAGCCATGGGCCTGCCCCTCCTCCCGGTGGCCCTGCATGGCACTCTCCCCTCAGGCCAGAGCCTTCTAGCCTGATCTCCCCTAGAATCTCTGGCTCCTGCCCAGGAAGAGCTGCCCTCTCCCTGCTAAGCGCCTGCCATAGCCATACCTACCCCCTCCGAACCCCTCACTCCAGCTGGGGAGACGGGAAAGGAGATGACAGGGTCACGGGGGTGGGGGGGGTGGAGGCTCCACAGGCCAGACACCTGACAAGAGGCACCTACGCCCAGCTTCCTTTCAGACCCTGGCAGCCTCAAACGGTGGTGTGGTGGGGGAATCAGACCCGTCCAGGGTGGAGGCAGCAGCTACCCCGAGAGGACAGCAGGTGCCAGAAGCATGGAGCTGTCAGCCACACAGGGGTCTAGAGGGTCAAGGTCCACAGGGAATGCTGGCGGCTGTGGTTTTGGCCAAGCATCCCAAGGTGGAGGGGCACCCCAGCAGAGACAGACACGTCACACAACCTTGCGCTCAAAGCCAGAGATCAGTCAGAAGGGCCCTGGGCTGTGACTGGCACCTGGTGCCCTAAGGATGGAGCAGTGAAGTCCCATCCAGGGCCCTGTCCGCATCTCAGAGAGCAGATGAAGCCAGCACCTGTGGAGAGCCCTAGCGAGGGCCATCGCAGCAACCGGATCCCAGTCCCAAAGTCCCAGATGTCTGCAACAGCAGAGGGACCGGCCAGGAAGGCTCAGGTTCAGTTTCCAGGTGTCTGCTGGGCCTGGGGCCTGTGGCTCCAAGGGGTCAGAAAGACACCAGCCAGTAAGAACCAGCCTAAGCTGGGTGTAAGCGGGTGCCAGGTCGCCCTGCTGGATACCCCGCACACTTGGCGGGAGTCTGTGAAAACGGAGGGCCTGCGTCAGGAGCATGGGTGCGTGGGAAAGACCAGCATGGGCCAGACGCCAGGTAAGGGCCCAGCAGGTGTGGGGCACAGCGGACCCGGGAGACCCAACAGAAGGTCGCAGGTATGCACGTGTCTGGGTCAGTTGCGGCAAGGTGGGCAGGCCCCGCCCCGGGGCGCAGAGGACAGGAAAGGCAGAAGCGGAAGGACTGAGCCACCTGGGCTTCCCTGCTCTGCCCCGACCGCTGCCAGCCTTCCACCCTGGCGGGTCTGCACCGCCCCGCCAGCCCCGCCCGGCCCTTCCCGCAGCCCGGGAA